ACCCCTTCACGGAAAGCGCAAAAAAGGCGCGGCCATTTATTTTTTAAACAACTTTCCACAGTGTTCCTCTTTTTTTTTTTTTTATAAAAAAAAAAGCATAATTGGGGAAAAAAACCCCCCCCCCCCCCCCCCCCCCCCGATGTTCTGGTATGTGTCTGTATATGCAAAATACAGATACCTTCCCCCCTCGAATATGATCAACGCAACATTTAGAGTTGAACCAATATCAACATATTCAGAGTTTGGAAGCAATTGTTAAAAGATTTTCGTTCACATATCAATCTTTAAGTTGATTGAAATGCCCGATCTGTCTCTGAATAGCAGTAACCATAGTAGGAAATGTTATAGATAAAGTGAACGATCACATTTTATAGGATACCAAGCTTAAGAAAGCATGTTGCTGTTGTTGTTGTTGCTGCTGCTGCTGTTGTTGTTGTCGTCGTCGTCGTAGTCGTCGTCGTTGTTGTTGTCGTCGTTGTTGTTGTTCAACATATAATTTTGACCTATCGATTGTTATTTCAACAATAATAGTCGAGTCGGTTATGAAGATGACTAAGATGTTACAGTATTCACTGTCCCTGGTTACAACATTATCGTAATAACGACAGTGGCACGTTGCTAATGAGGTGCATGGCAAATGATCGTGTAACATTACATATAAAACGGAAACCTTATTTTACATTCGTGGCATGTCATTACAGCATCTTCTATTCGTCAACAAGACATTCCGTGCCAGTCTTGGCGGCATACTGTCGATCAACTGCTATGTATATATACAGTATCAGATACTGGGGAATACTGGACAACAAAATCCAAGTCGAAACAGAAGTACACTATGGGCAACAAATTTGACGGCAATCTCGAAAGTCTTATGGAAAACAATGAAGCCTGGGCTGAAGGACAAGAGCCCGGCTTCTTCTCTGAACTAGCCACGCAACAGAAGCCAAAGATCGTTTGGTTTGGTAATAAAGATTAATCAAATTGTTGAAAAGAACGACTGATAGTTTTTATGTGTAAATTTGTCGCTCATGATGTGTCTGTATTCTTGGCTCGTTTATAGGATGTTCTGATTCAAGAGTCCCAGCTGAGACAGTTGTTCAGTTAGGACCCGGCGAGATATTCGTACACAGAAATATCGCCAATCTATTTCTTCACACAGACTTGAATTCTCTCTCTGTGCTCCAATATGCTGTTGAGCACTTGGGTGTTGAATATGTTATAGTATGCGGTAAGTAAGGAGATGAAGAGATCAAGATGAGAATTATCATTTTACATTTCCAATGTTCTAAATCTCGTTCGGCATTAAATTTATCCACTACTACTTACAATCAAAGGTCACTATGGCTGCGGAGGCGTAACAGCTTCGCTCTCTACCGGCCAACACGGAATAGTAGACAACTGGCTCCGAACGATTAAAGATATTTACCGCACTTGTAAACATGATGTAGATTCTCACACTTCCAAGAAAGGCCGTATTAATCGTTTGGTAGAATTAAATGTTATTCGACAAGTGAATAACATAGCCTCCACTCCTATAGTCCAAGAAGCATGGGCCAATGGACGTAAACTTGAAGTACATGGTTGGGTGTATGATTTAGAAAATGGGAGACTGAAAGATCTTGAATGTAACATTAGGGGACCTGCAGATATCTGTGATGAAATTTACGTTGTTGATTGTGAATGCAATCACGATCACGAAACCGATGTCATTCCGAACAGGAGTAGATAGATAATAGAATCAATACGATAGATAAGTTGGGGTTTTGGTATAGCCCCATCTTCCCTTAATCATCTTGCATGTTCTAATTTGTTTATTTATTTGCAATTAAATATAAATAATTAATCCGATGCTGCCCGAATCTGTGGTTTTATGGTATGATTACGTACTTTTATAGATTTTTAAGGGGGCAGATGAATCAACAAACTTTAGCCGCACAAAAAAAGGGAAATTGTGTGACAAAAATGGAGTTTCCACTGAGATTAGATAATACTGGATTTTTGAACACAACAGGAAAGACCAGCATTACAAACGGCAAGCAAATTGTAGAAATGCAGCCAAAAAAACACACATTATAGCAATCAACAATAAATTGGAAGGAGAACAGAGCGTAGAGATTAGTGTGAATATAGTTGAAACCTCGTCTTGTAACGTTTGGTGTTAGGTATATACTGAAATGGAACTGCGTTTTTGTCTTTACACACGTGAGTACGTGAGTTCAAAACCCAGAACTGCCAAAAGAGAAAGTCTGGTGGTTTGTCGGGAGCCGAAAAACGTTTCGTACTGTCAAGCATTCGTCGAAAATTCATTTATTTGCTTTGGGATGCTTTTGTTGTTTCTCGGTTTGGGACTCGTCTCAGAACTTAACCTAATTAACTCGGTTTCATACAACAGTTGCATATGTTCTGGACCAAACCAAACGATTGTTATGTTTATTAATATTAATAATAAAAGGTAAAAACGTTACTCTCTGTTTATACATTTTGATTGTGACGGATGACATCTGGAGTCACATCCGACCCCTGATCTCTTACAAGGACATCGATTAGTATTACAGTTAGATTTACAGCAACATACTATGAGCCTTGTACTGTCGCTGAACTTTGGCGTTTTGCCGCTTGGGTGAGCGATACTCAGTTACTCGGTATATTTGTCAGCTCGGTGAATGTGGTACTAATACCATCCATTTCGCATACTTGATAACAGTTTTCTAAAATGTCATGAGCACACCCAAGACGGAACAAGCTTCTGTCTAGGACCTTACAGGGGAGTGATACATAACAATTGATGGTATTGGCTGGGTGACAAAATCGCACATCACATTGAATACTCAGTGTAACATTTGGATATGGGCCGGCCCAAGTTGAAATTTTGAAATGGGCCAAGGGGTAATTGGACCGTTTTAGAATGGGCCAAATTTTGATTTGGTCCAGAACATATATAAAGGTAGTCATTACAAGTTTCGCATATTAGCATGTTTTTGAATAATATTAAAATGTAGCGATCAACATGTAAATATGGATATTATTATTATTATTATTATTATTATTATTATTATTATTATTATTATTCGAACCAAAGTGTCTAAAAATAACATTATAAACTCTTGTGCCGTATTTGGTGCAAACCTCAAACTCTAATACTGTAGCTTACTCTTAAGACCCAACATCGTTGTATGCCAAACGATTTGGGCTGCACGTTTTGAGATCAGTGAGGACGTTATTTGTAGCTACAGCAAGCAATTTAGCACGTAGTGATGCGGGTGTCATTGGACTTGGGCTCAAAGCGAGGAAATAAGTTGCAAGACCAGCTACATGAGGACTCGCCATGGAAGTACCAGAAATTGTATTTGTCGCATTGAGCGAACCAATCCAAGCAGACTTAATGAAACTGCCCTATATTTTGAACAGTAAAAAAGTTAGCGAAATAAAGTAAAAGCAGCACGCACTGTTTGTATACCAATTCTGCTACTCGTTAATTTCCTGAGTATCAAGTATTTCCTTTACTTACTGGTGCCCAAATTGCAACGCAACAGCCGAAATTGGAGAACCAAGAGCGTGTATCCTCAATAGTCGTAGCGCCGACAGCGATTGCTTTTGCCGCTCGTGAGGGTGACGTGTTGCAAGCATCGGCCATTTCGTTGCCTGCAGCTACAACTACGAGTATTCCAGAATCAACGGCCTAATAAAAAGAGGAATAATAATTTGAACATTGCATGATACGTAGCACAAACATATTTACAATACTTACCGAATTTGTGGCAGTATCCAAGGCCATACTCTTGCCACCTCCCAAACTCATATTAATAACCGAACCCTTATATACTTTTCCTGCTCGTTTGGCCACGTCGACAGCTTTTTTGTGGTCGTCTACTGCCCACTCTATGCCTTTGATTACATCGCTAGTAGGACCGGCTCCGTTTGCGGATAAAACCTTGACAGCGACAACTTTAGCTTTCTTGGAAACGCCGTATTGTCTTCCCGCAATTGTACCAGCAACATGAGTTCCATGTCCGTTGTCGTCAGTGTTGGGTGCACCAACTGGAATGGTAACTCCCCATTTGGCACGACCACCAAAGTCAATATGGTTGATGTTGATGCCTGTATCAATTACGTATGCAGTGACACTCTCATCGGTAGTTGCTTCATACACATATTGTCGCGCATTTTTCAAGGTCAAGTGTGCACGATGAGATATGCGAGCCAGGCCCCATGGTGCATCAGGCTGGACTACTACCGTCGTGTGGACTTGATTGTCTCTCTCGACGTATGCAACCTGGGAACAGTTTGACAAATAGTTGGATTATTTGAAAAACTACGTATAGATTAACATACATAGATTATATATATAATTAATTTTGTTCATTCTTTCACAAAGCTTTTTCGTTCTCTGTGCAAAAATTTAGTACATATCTGCATACATACGTCATCGCTCTGCCTGATTTTATTTAGTACATATTCTGGAAATTTACCAGCGTAACCGCGAAAACCATCCATGTTGTAAGTGTGTTTAATTCCGGACATTAGTTCACTTATCAACCCTTGTTTAAACAGCCGCATTTCCTCAAACATCAGGCTATTAACGTTTTCGTAATGACGAATCGTTTCTTCCGAGGTGACATTGTTGTTAAATACGACGATATATTGATCAGGAATAATTTTATCATTTGTAGAAGAGATTAACGGTGCAAGAGTGTTGTCGCGCTTGTCCTCGGAAAGAGGTGGTACGGCTAAAACTGTCGATAGAGGCAACGCGATAAGGAAGAATAGCTTGAACATTGTATTTGCCAATCAGATATAGTACTATGTTGAAAAGATTAAGGTAATATAGACGGCCTATTTATACACGTTGACGTTATAACAGTAGTCAAATGTGAAGTGGTTTTTCAGTCATTAACGCTGAATATACTTGCGTAGCTATTAACGATAAACACCGAATTTAATTGTCTTTTAGTTTGCCATTTTAGATGACAATGAAATCGATATTTGCACTCGACTGCCGCATTATTAAATTCAGTAGACCAAGTCGGTAACCGTAATCTTTTCGAGTATTATATTTACAGTCAACACGTTACATTACATGATTGCACAATTCACGTGATATGTAAGGATAACAAAACTTTATATAAAATTTAGCAAGAGCTCTAAAGACGAACAGCCAATACAGACCTCAAACCGTCTAAAGACGAACAGCTATCATAATCGAAGTATGTATAATTTAGTAACAAACACGTTCTGGAACATTAGTATTGAGAGGAGAACAACAGGAAATTCTGTGGACCATTAACAATAACTCATTAACAATAACTCGAGTTATTAACAATAGGAATTACGCCCTTTTTTTTTTCTTCTTTTTTTTTATTTGTAGTATGTGGCCTTATCTTTGTGGTTTCTGTTTCGGAATAAGATATTGTTTGTTGCTCAACCTATAAGAGTTCTCGAATCTTTCGGTGATCCCATGCTTTAAAATAGCATCATGTGTGACAAGATCGCTCTTTCGCATACGCAATAGCTATCCATCTAATCGTAATAAACTTTAATATTCAGTACTATATTCCTGTCCAAAGACACCAATGATATCATTTTTGATAAAGACATAATTATTGTTTGGTACGGACTGAGTGTTAAAATAAACTTGAACTTAATAGAGGTGAGGCTTTTTGATTTATTCCGCAATTCGGACATTTTTTTCCCGACAGTTTGTAAAGTAGTACGGCATCATGTGCATACATGGTAGCCGGGAAAAAAAGGTCCGAAAGTCATTGCCAGACAAGTCGAAACGACAATCACCTGTTATTCTCTGACGACAGTATGAGAGTAAAATGTATATTACTTTGGGAAATGATTGACTCTTCCGTCTCTGGGCCGTACTTCGTCTGACAAAAAAATGCAGATGTTAACAATTTATTTATTTATTTATCTATCTATTTATTTATTCAGCATATACAATGACATGCTGAATATGCTCATGGAAATTGTAAAGTTGATATGAAATTATTAACACTAATTGATCAATTGCGATTGTTTATAATACATTGATTGTACGTACCGTGTGATTGTTAATGCCACCATGTAAAGCAAGTGGCATCTGTAATAGGAATAGTAATACGGATTGTAAAGCCTTGTATTTTGATGAAGGGCGACCTATCATAACGCTGGCATAATCCCCAATCTATACCCTAATCTGTATACATAATACCAATCTATACCCTAATCCGTAGACATCATTTTACAACAAACCATTGACTGATATATAAAGTATATACATGTACCATACGTTAACCCAAATAGTGAGTACCAGACGGACATATGCTGTATCTGTACTTACGATTCTGTACTCCCAATAATGGAATAAAATATGGATAATAAATCAATTTGGTACTATTTCTCCTTCCTCCGTTTTCGAAAAACAAACATTATTAAAAATCTCTTTTTCGTTTGACTGTTCTATCGGCTATATAGAAAGACTCGTTCAGTTTCTCACGACGGAAAGATGATTCTGAGAAAACTAGCGAGTGTGAAATGCTTGGCAAATATTAGCAAATAATTGATATAAAAAAACAAAAAGTCATAGTTCAAAACTTTACTGTACGGAAATGTATGATAAATGTTGTGTAACTGAAAGTGGCTGTGTCTGATCGATCTAGTGCTTTCGACCTCCTTCCAACCTCCTTTCAACAAACCATACCCGTCGTTCTCTTTACTAGCACCGAGTACTCAATCAGTTATGGGTCCGGATGGGATGGATTAGATGGTTTCAGGTTTGTTTAACAAGCGTACTGCGCTAATATTGGGTAATAATTAATAAACCCCTGCCCATTATTATAATATCATAAAAGTAAATTCCCCTTACTTGTGCTACATCACGCTACGTTTCACAAGCAAACATATGATATCTCATGATCATCTCAATTGATACTGCGAAAGCCACTTTAATGTATACATTACTACAGGATATCCTGAATTTAAAGAGCATTATGTTTACTATTTGTATTCTATGTTCGTTGAAAACGACATCTTATGGCTGAACAATTCGGATATTAATGAAATTTATGCACCATTGTGTCCTTGCTCAAATTGGACAATAAACCGTGCGGCACACAGCCGCATGTACTACCAACGGCATGAAAGAGATAACAGGCATTATAAGGGTTATTTTTAATTATCATTTGTTTGCAATATTCATATGGCATAAACATCAGCGGCGATCTATGGCAAAGACAATAGATAAAGTACAAATCTAAAAATAGCCGACAGATGATCAACGGAACTAATTTTAATTTGATCGACACCCAACCACTTACGGCTAGAATCTGAAAATTACCCGTAAACTTTTGATATTTGTTATAGTAAAATGTGTCATTCTAAGACTATAATTGCTTACATGATCGTCGTATATCTGACCGCGACCGTAACTCGATAAATTTCGAGTGCGTTTATCATTATACAAAATTTTCAATCAATTTCACAAAATTCTTTAACAAACCCGTAATTGTAACGTGTGTTTGCACTACGATAAACCTGGGTTGACGTTGCGTTAACTCAAAAGTTATAATTAGATGTCATATACCAATAATCTTTTTATCGTTCTAATTTTAGATCGGAGAAAGGTGTAGAATTTTTTCTGAAGATCACTAACAGGAAAGGCAAGAGACCCCCACAAAGAAATTTCTAAATCAAACGGCGAACGATTACACAAGTGATAAAGCTCATTACACCAGTATGCACATTATAGAACTGGCGCTTTTATTACCATTTGGCGTCAAATATTGGTTATATTGGGCATTGACCCCTACCGCACATAAATAACTATTGTCTATTCCTTACTAACGTTATTCGGACGTTGTAATACCTTTTCTCCTGTTACGAAACCAAAATAGAAATCAAGTGTACATGAATATTCGTTGTTGTCAACAATATACCCAGTCTGTGTAGCTCTAATGCAATTTTCCTTATAAACAGGGCCGATTCACAAATAACTTCGCCGTTCAGTTAATCATACTTGCTCGAGTTCAAACGTCTATAATCAGAGAATCACCATGGCCAAAAAGAGGAATTGTTTTGCGAACTTCTTCATCAAAACTAGGCGGCTAATCCCTTACTTATGGCCGACTAGGAACTTACGCTTACAATTAATCATAATGGTGTGCTTGGCATGTCTTGTGTTGGGGAGAGTAGTCAATGTGTTCTTGCCTATATGGAACAAACGGTTGATAAACGACTTAACAATAAAAGATAGTCAGCAATTTGACTGGCCGACTATTCTGCGGGACATTTTAATATACGTTAGCTTGAGGTTTTTACAAGGAGATGTCGGTTTGCTATCTAACATACAGTCGTATCTTTGGATCGATATTGCGCAGGTGAATATTTCTACAATTTATTTAAGCGATCTGATCTTGAATAAACCTTTTCTCTGACGTAGTAATCTTACTGTTTGCTTGTTTTTCAAGTTTACTACCCGTAAAGTCTCTGTAGACATGTTTGACCATCTTTTAGAGTGTTCTCTTAGATTCCATATTAACCGCAAGACTGGTGAAATTCTTCGTGCACAAAGTAAGTAGCATTATTATTATCCGTCCAACCCGATCCATCATTTATTAACGCATTACTTTTTTTCTGTTAGAGCGCGGTGTAATGTCGATCGTGACCATTCTATCTTCAGTTCTTTTCCAAATTGCTCCAACTTTGGTTGATATTGGAATAGCCGTTGGCTTTTTCACACTTGCCTTTGATAGATTATTCGGGATAATTGTATTTGTTACTATGTCTCTATACGTGGTTTCTACCATCGTTCTGACTGAATGGAGGACAGCATATCGAAGACGTGCAAACCTGCTAGAAAATTTAATGGAAGCGAAGGCCGGTTAGTATTTGATCGATGGGTCAAAAAATTGTGTGGTAGTACAGTATGATTTTGTAACACCGTATACAATTAACGTCTTTATGCCAATTCTAGTCGACTCGCTCTTAAATTATGAAACCGTTAAATATTATGCGGCGGAACGATTTGAAAGTAAGTACAAAAAAGCTTTATCAACTGGTCTGCAGGTTTTAATACGAGTGTCATACATGCTAATTGCACTCTTAACTCGGCATCCCTATTTCTACTGTCAGGCGAACAATATGCACAAGCCGTCGACGACTATCAGGAGGCGGACAAGAAATCCAATGGAACCACATATATCCTCACTTTGGTGCAAAACGTCATTATCCAAGCTGGTCTTCTTGTGGGTGGCTTACTTTGTGCTTATCAAGTTACTCAGGGAGAGAAAACCGTCGGAGACTTTGTATTGTATCTTGCATACATTCTCCAACTTTACCAACCCTTGAACAATTTTGGCAGTTACTACAAATCAATTCAAAAAAATCTCGTGGATATGGAAAAGATGATAGATTTGATGCATGAACCGATAGAAGTAAATGACCCGCCAGACCCCAAGCCGCTTGTAGTACAGAAGGGAGAAGTAGAATTCCGAAATGTTACTTTTGCGTATGATGAGAGAATCCCGATCTTGAAAAATGTGTCGTTTAAAGTACCAAGCGGTCGTACCGTTGCTATAGTTGGACCGTCAGGAGGAGGCAAGGTAAGCAATAAGAACTTCTTTTTTTTTTACAAAGTGGCTGATGCGCGTTGAAGCGTTCTAGTATCATGGTCCAGTAGATATCGACTATCTTTTGACCCGTACGCACGTCATTTGATTTAGCCAAATTTTTTGAGAAATAACATTTCCTTTATTTTTTTTTCTTTGTGTAGTCAACTATCTTGCGTCTACTGTTACGCTTTTATGATATCCAAGAAGGTTCTATCCTGATAGATGGAGTTGATGTGAGGGACGTTAAGCAATTCGATCTAAGGAGTCAAATTGGAGTTGTACCTCAGGTAATTTATTGTGTTATACTGGCTGTGGGCAGTGCCCGTTTTCACATTTAATTAAATACTTATATCCACTCCTTTGCTATCTGCCGTCTCTAGGATACTGTTTTGTTCAATAATACTATTAAATATAATATAAGATATAGTAAGGTTGATGCAAATGACGAACAAATTGCGGCTGCTGCTGTTGCAGCTAAAATTCATGAAAAGATTCTTGGATTTCCTGATGGTTACGAGACCAAAGTAGGAGAGAGAGGGTTAAGACTGAGCGGAGGAGAGAAGCAGCGTGTGGTGAGTAAAGTTTTGGAATATGAGAATAGGCGCATGTGTTTTTTGGCATATACACTAATGTGGTGTGTTTTGACTTCTTATTTTTTAGGCGATTGCTAGGACAGTATTAAAGGTAATTATTTATATAAGATAATGAAATACCGAGTTTAACTTGTATAATAATGTTTGTGTTCTTCTACCCTAGAACCCACAAATTGTGTTACTTGATGAAGCGACATCGGCACTTGATACCAGTACAGAAAGACACATACAAAAGTCACTACAGCAGATGACTGTCAATAGAACTACACTTATAATCGGTAAGGGAAAGCGAATAGTATATGGGTAATATGTTTTTAGTAAATTGGAAATACGGATTTTAACATCACACAATGTCGATTTTAGCACATCGTCTCTCAACAATCGTGCATGCAGATCTGATATTAGTTGTGAAGGCAGGAGAGATTGTAGAACGAGGGTCCCATGACGAACTTATGCAAATCGACAATGGCGTGTATTTCAAGTTGTGGAATAAACAACTCAAGGATAGATTGAAAATTAAGTCGAAGATTAAACGCCTCGGTCGCACAACCAGCGTGCGTAGTAGGAAGAATAGTCGTCGTTATAAGGCTCCAGCTCATGACCCAATGTCTGCGAATATAGAAGATATACCGCCTCAACCAAACGTAGGGGGATATGTGCCGCCGCCTTTACCTGTTGCTCCGTCAGGGAGATATGTGCCGCCGCGAACGAGGACTGGATCAGGGGAGAGAAATGTGCCCCAAATGACGACCTATACACGTGGTGGTGTTAACAATCTTGAAGATGAGGGGATGATATATATACATATTGATGATCAAACGACTAATAATAATAATAATAATCGTAATAATAGCAGAACAGTAGGGTGGGAAGATCTGGGGAGGTCTCACACAACGGCCTATGAACCAGTAACAGAGATGAATGCGCCACCTCAAACATATACATATAACAATGTAGTTGATAGATCGTCATCAAGGGGAAGCGTGAGACCTCAGACGGCATATATACATAACAATGAAGTGAATAGACCAATAGTGAGGAGTGGGAATGTGAGGCCTTACACAATGCATGAGTCAACAAGAGAGAGTGGGACACCTCCAATAACAACCTCTACAAGTAATGAAGTGAATGAATCAGACCTAGAGGCTTCGGGCGGAGAAGGTTGGTATAATAATCAAATCATATTTTAAAGTTGTGCGCATGTGTGACTTTGTAATAATAAGCAAAAATATTTATACTCAAATTTTTATAATCTTTACCTACAGCACCTTCGAGGAATTCACAACAACGCAGATATAATCCTTTGGATTTATTACGATGAAGCTGTAGTACTATTTGAACAATTTTACATAGTCTTCGTGTGAGGGGGTTCATAAAAGGCGCCAGATAGCGCCAGGTGTACATAATTATATTGGAATTCATCGCGCGATGATATCAAACTAACATACAGAGATTCTGTTAATAAAATACATTTGACATGTGACATGTTATGCAGTTTGTTTTTACGCACACCAAATTCTTTAACGCGTAGAACGAATGAAGGTACTTATCTAATAGCAATTTAATAAAAGCTGTTCTTTTCTCACATTAGATTGCTGCGGTTAGTCGTGAGATATTTGAGTATGCAACGAGTTGAATCTCTATAACTAGGGGCCAAACCGTAATTCTATGCACAAGTTAATAGTGTAGCGAAACGTCTATTTTGACTGGTTCACATGTCATGAACTGATAGCTTAAAATCCGGGACACTCGATTCTCCAACATTCTCGTCCGCCACATATTTCAATTGAATGCATGGTATAAAACGTCCTAGTGTAACATCTACTTTTTTTGCTTGTATTATCGTCCAATATGACAGCCAAGCTATTCATCGGAACAGTCGTCAACCCGCTCGCATTGGGCGAGATACAAATCCTTGAGAACGTTGCAGTGGGTTGTATCAAGTTAACTACGAATTACATTTGTCGTCTGTCTTGATCTTATTATCGTGTTATTTTCGACAGCTATCAACAAATCCGGTAATATCACTTCAATAACAGCTCCCAATTCACCAGACTACGAACGAACTGTCACATGTGAGTCAATCGTTCGACTACCAAAACACGCGTTCATTATCCCAGGGTTTATTGACTGCCATATACATTCACCACAATACAAATATGCCGGTACGGGTACTGACGTACCATTGATGAATTGGCTGAACAAGTACGCATTTCCGACAGAGCGTCGATTTTTAGATGACGCAGATTTTGCTACCAAGACATACAGTCGTCTTATTAAGCGCTGTTTGAGCAATGGAACCACTACCGCATGCTTTTTTGCCACCATCCACCTCTTTCCTACCCTAAATTTTGTAAGTCTTATACGGGAAGCCGGCATGAGGGCGTTTGTTGGTAAAGTTAGTATGGATCAGAATTCACCCGAGTATTATATAGAGGACACCAACAAAGCAATTAGCGCTGCAGATGAATTCGTAAAGGCAGTCCTTGAGACATCTAGTGATGCTAGTACGTCTCTAGTTACACCAGTCATCACACCTCGCTTTTTGCCTACTTGTTCTCCTCAGCTGTTAAAGGGCTTAGCTGCCATTGCAAAGAAATATGATGTTCCTATTCAAAGTCACATGTCAGAGGCATTGGATGAGATAGAGTACGTGCATCAGCTGTATGGTAAACCTGACCCAGAGATATTTGCTGAGGTATGGGGGAAGTTTGTTATTTCCCATGGCAAAGTCGTGATGTACTGTTTAACAAATTCGCCTTTTTATAGAATGGACTCTTGACCCGCAAGACAATAATGGCACACTCAATACACTTATCGGATGATGACATCAAAAACTTGCGTGACCATGGTACAGGGATCGCACATTGTCCACTTTCCAACTACTTTTTTGCTGATGGGATTCTTCGCACTCGACATCTACTTCGCAGCGGCATTAAGATTGGATTAGGTAGTGATATTGCGGGTGGGTATTCCGTTTCGATATTGGAGAACATGAGGCATGCTGTCATATCTTCAAAGATACTTGCGTCACAGCGGAAGCGAACCATTGGAACAGCCAACAAGGAGAGCGATGAAACTGACGAAATCAGCTACAAGGATGCTTTTTATCTCGCTACGGTGGGTGGTGCCCAGGTTCTTAATATCGATCATGTTGTTGGTACTATTGAGGTGGGTAAAGCATTTGACGCAATAATAGTACACTGTGCCGATGATAATGGAAACGGCATCGGTGGGATGGAAATTTGGAGTGATGACACGGTAGAAAGTCTTTTTGAAAAATTTATTAATCTGGGTGGAGTCGAAAATATAAAATCAGTCTATGTGGCTGGTAATAAAGTGGTGTAAATGAGGCACTTCTTCACATAAATTAACATGTGCTATAATTGAACCATAGCCCTAAATATTCATCAGACATTTATCAGTTATGTGAATACTTCGTTTTAAATAAAACGTAATATACTTACTTGTATTCACGTAATACGACTGGTACACTTGTACACGGAATCATACCAACTTCTGTAATAACCATTGTAATATACTTTGAAGGTGTTACATCATAAAGAATGTTCAATAACTTAAGATCGGATTGTCCAAGCCAGGAAGAGAGCGGGCCGGGTTTAGGTATTGGATTGTTTGATATATTCACCAGTTCTGATGGATTACCTAAGGAGATGGACGTTAATGCTTCATATGAAAAGCAGGAGAAAATCCAATTAGTTGAAAGGATGGTTTTACCTTCCTCGTTCCACACAAAAGAATCCAGTTGCACTCTATCAGTAAATTTATACGTCTCGCAACAGACAATAACAGGTATATTGAGATCCTTAGCCATCATTGCAACCATGGCAGTGCCTACTCTTGAGTAAAGAGCACCATTGGATAATACCGCGTGGCAACCAAGGAAGACTTTGGAAACATGCCTGAATGCAGAACCGCAGGAATGAAGCAAACAGTATGTACACTTTATCCCGGCGGCGACGAGATTTCTTAAAAGATGTTTGCCTAATAAGACTGATACGTGAGCCGGGAGTAGACGATTGTACAAAGCCTCTTGAACAGATTGTACTTTCCATACCTTCAAATTTTGGTCTCGAGTCCAGAATCACAACGCTGAATTGAATACCTGCTTTGTGTGCTTCCAATATCAGAGCCTCTACTACAGATGACCTAAACATGGACGAATAATATTATAGCGCCAATTGCCACAAACTTGAACCAACTAGCAAACGTTTAAGCATCAATTACTTTGCGTATGTTAGTATGATATCTCCGTTATGTATTTTCTGCAGCCCGTAGGCGACTATGGCATTATCTGCGATTGTTATACGTTCTCGTATAAAGTTGTCAATCTTCTGACAGAGCAACGTTTTTGCCTACACATCAAAGACGAATCAAAGCTTAAAACGATATATATACTATGCAAACCCAATTGGTAATAAACTGTCAACTGTTTATCGACTTGCCTCTTCATCGCTGAGATCTATGTCAACTGTACTAATCTCCATCTTCAAATATCTAATAGCAGTCCCCATACTAACACTCATATTCCGACAATCAACAAGATATTGAATCTGCGAATTTAACACAGTCTGCAAATGTCTACTCAAAGTAGTACCCTCTGGTGTGCGATATTCTTGGATTACTTTCTTAAATGCATTCAAAGTAGCCACGCATCTTGCATTGGACCCAGTGATCTTGTTTTCTGAAAAGAGTAAACCAAGTGTCAGAACAGATGGGTGTATATCGGCTATTGCGGGAGATGAAGTCGACGGTCGAGTGGGATGAGCAAGATGGGCAAGAAGGGCTACTTGCTTAGAATCAGTCGAGGAGCTGAGATCATTCTTATCAGGTTTGGCGATTGACGGCTTTCCTTTATTCTCTTTGTCTTTGGGCTTTGCTCTTGTTAATGAAGAAGAATCCTGTCCCGTTGCATCGGATGATCCACTCTTTTTGTTTGCAGATGTAGTCGCCGAAGTAGCAGCTTTTGCCGCTTTTTCGGCTCTTTGTCTCTCTTGATGTGCTCTTCTTTCTGCTTTAGTCATTTCTCTCATGCTTCTTCTGGGAGTAGACGTTGAGCCACTTTCAATGTTCACCGGACCATGCGCATCGACGCTACTACCACGAGGTCTTACCGGGTTAGCGGGCTCTCTTCTCTCTTCAGGAAGCCATTTTTGTTCGTAACTGGCGGGTTCCATTGATATAAGATACTTTTTGTTGGATTCTTGGAAAATATTGATCAAATTATGGCACATGACATGCATGTCGATCGGGCTGTTAGATATGGTTAGCAAACTGATCTTGTGTAATGATAATCAAAGCTTATTTTCAATCACGGTCATCAATTCAAAGTAAAGTTACTTACCAACATAATGTGAATTTTAGGCTTTGTGCAAATCAAGAACGACATAAAAATAGTGTCAATAAACTTTAAAGCATTATTCTGATGAGGGATAACAATTAACGTTGTATGAATCAAGAATAAAATGAAATGTCGTTTAATCGCGTAACAAGGTAATTACTATTCATATTCCCTCTCATTGGCGCGTACATGATATTTCTTTAAAGAATCGTAAAGTGGAAACATTTCAGTGCGGCAGAGCGGATGCGACATGTTAAGTTTTTTTACGAACCACATTTTTTAATAATAATGACTTCGTTACTCTAACGTTAGGTAAACGGAACAGTAGCATGCCTATATTACATAATATTTTTTTTCATAATTTATTATTAATTAACATAATTATCTGTATTGATTACTATTAAAATAAATATAACGAATAACTCGATAACTAAGAGTCGATTCTAAGTTCGGCTTTTCCGGAGACGCAGAGCGACGTAGAATCCGACGCGGAATATTATGGTTAATGCAACCAAAGCAAACTACGGAATGAGGAGAGAAAAAAAAGAGATAGTCAGTAATCATGAAAGACACATCATAGGTTTAATCAGTTTAGTGTGTACTCATCCATAAATATCCTTACCGCCCATAACGCTAATTTTATCTCTGTATATCCATAACTATTCAAGACATCCTGACCGGTGAATTTCTTTGAATCCCCACTGGTATCTCCATAGAGACAGTCATACTTCTGCGTAGTCGGATTCAGAACGCAATCGAACGTCAATCCAATAAAATCACTTTTGACGATACCTTCAAAGGCATATTTTTGATAATCGATGTAATGAGCCCATTTCCATGCATGAGGGATAGAATCTCTTCTGACGAAAAATCCCTGTACGACCATAAAGAATCCATTTAGGAAAGCAACAATCGTCAATGCGGCTACGAATATCGGGATGACTGCAGCCACGAAAACAACCATCGACTCGGCAACCATCAACGCCAGGTATAAATATGTGAGGAACCACATAAAGTGCCCCATTCCCGCATGCAATCCAATCATCGGATACGCAACAGCGGTGAACGTGAAAGCAATAACAAACACGAACGGAACTGATACAACGAAATTAGCCAATGCGTACGGACCAACTGAATAGAATCCATCGGCTCTCTCACGGCGGAACACTACTCGCTCTTCAAGGAATCCAGGAATACCGGCGACACTCATGAATACGAGGAAAGCAACCGAAAAGAAATGGGCTGCGAACCTATCTTGAACATTCTTCTGCTCGAATCCCACTTGCCACCATACTGTGCCCATCAACAGTGCCAAACAGACATACATTGCTACGCGAATCCAGTATAAAAGGACGTTTCGGTAAGCATTGGTAAACGTGCGTCTTGTAATGAAATACGTCTGGACAAAGAATCCTCTGGCATATCTGTTGTATCCTTGTGGCACATCAACTGATATGTCGTCTACGTCCTCTTTCTCGGCTGCGGCCACTACATCGCTGACGTCTTTCTCTACTAGACGTTTAGCAGAGGATGATTCATAATTCGTGATGAATTTCTGAATGTGCTGTTCTCCGGTCTCTCTGTCAGACATAAAGTCGATATTGATCCGCGATAAATAGAAATCGGCTGGATTTGCATGTTCGGGACACTCGTGTCCGAGGTTTTTGAAATATTCCAATGCCCCCTTGCGAGATCCGTGATATACTGTTTGTCCACGTGATATCAAATACAATTTATCGAATAAAGCAAACACTTCTGAACTAGGTTGATGAATGCTAGCAATTACAGTCAAGTGATGCGATTTGGCCGTGGTTATGATGGCCTTCATGACATTGTACGCAGCGGCCGAGTCTAGGCCAGTTGTGGGCTCGTCGAGGAAGATTATTCTTGGAAGGGTGACAACTTGCGAAGCGATTACAGTGCGGCGTTTTTCACCACCAGAGATACCCCGGATGATAATATTGCCTACTTTTTGATCGGCAACACGTTCCAGACCAAATTCTTTGATAATTTCTGCGACCTTTTGGCGTCGTTCATCAGGCGAGACTGTCTCTGGGAAGCAGAGGTCTGCGGCAAATTGAATGTTCTCGCGAACTGTTAATGAGCCTATTAATAATCATGGATAAAAGAAATTGTAATAAAGTGTTTCAGTGAATGGTTTACAAAGCCCGAGTTGTTTACAAATTACTTTAAAGTTACCCATTAAGGCATCATCCTGCATTACATAGGTCGATACGAATTTTACATTCTGGCCACTTCTCCCGTTTAAATAGATAGTTCCGGTAACATTTTTAGGATCCTTTCTCCCGGCTAGAACGTCCAAGAGAGTACTTTTTCCAGCTCCCGATGGACCCATGACTGATTACATGAATTAGTGTGAGTATAAATAATCGTTGTAAATAAATAATAATTTACGTCTTTTCGGTTCATCACTTACTCGCCATAATCTCTCCCGGTTTAACAACACCACTACAATTTTGGATAATATTTTGCTGTTGCTTAGTCTTTTTATTCGTAATAGTGTACGTGAGCATGGACCAAGCGATCGATACGGAATCCTCAACAATGGGAAGAACACTTTCTACGGTATCTAGGATGCAAAGGTATATCTAATAAATCAAACGTTCAATACACGTCGGGGGGGGGGGGGGGGGCAAACTTCATTTATTTACCATTATTATTATTGTCTATAATTTCGATTTGAATTTGTTTGGCAAATTCATTGTTATATGTCTTCCACTCAAGTTCCACCTCCTCACTTGTTTTTTCTCTTTTCTTCAATATTGACATTTTCAAATCAATTAATCTCTGTGTTTAGAAATAAAGAGTGTCTCTCCTAAAATGTTCTCTCTCCTATCTGTTGCCGTAATTATTGTATCACTGATCAATCTATTTATTGTTTGAGAATTTGGGGAATTTATCAATTTTTTGCATTCGATCTGTTACATATCCTCATTTATATATTTATTTAGGTTTTCGGAGCATGCATCTACCAAACCGACCGTCGCTTAGTAATGAAATTCATACTTATTTAGTCGTTTTTTAATTTTTAATGACCTTACAAGCCATTCATTAAACTATGGAAGTTTTATGAATGCTCAAAAAAGTAGCATTTTCATATGTTCGTTATCTAACTGATAGAAAATTTGGGTAAAGTTGCTGCTTTCGTCCCAATCAGATAGTTCTGGGATGGGAGATCGCCCAATCGATGGATGCACTATGTCAAACCGTGCAGATCAGAAAATCGGCAACCCAAATATGGTATATGTAAAATACGATAACCAAATGCAGTATATGACCGCCGCAGGATTTTTGTAGAGTGTCATGTTATCATATGATGATACCATGAGAGAGGTTTCGATTTTAGTATGATTGATCGAATCACACATCTTTTGCGAGGTCTTTTTTACCATACTTTTTATCTTGCGGGGGTTTCCGACGATGCTCGGGTGACGCCTACGATCGAATGGAATGATACATCATGTAGGCTTATTAGGAATACATACAAACAACTTTGATAAATACGCTTGCAAAAAGTACGGTTCCGATTGGTAAGTTGGACAATTGAACGGGAGTGAATTTGGTTTCTATCTGTTCACATGTTGTATAATAATTCATGTGGAGGTTTGTTTTTAATTTAGCGCGAGATCGTACCCGGTGGTAATTTAGTTAATACGTGGAGCCAAAAAACCTGTACTGAAAAGACTTTTCGTTTTTTCAATGGATAGAAAATTTTTTGTTGATAATATATATTAATTACATCATTGCTCTTCTTTACACTTTAATGGGAAAAAGCTTACCGGAAACTTGAACAATACATCTGGTCATATGCACAATTTAGCTAATTTATTATATTATTTAAATTACGTGTTAAGAGGTGTCTGTCACATACAAAACGTGGACGTAATATTAAACAAAGCAAGCAGGTCTAATTATGAATGTTTACTTTCAGACATTATTGATGTTGTATATTAATTAAACGTAATCAGTTTCAAGTTCACAGCCGATCATTATTTACTATCAATGGTACATTAAAGGAGCGAACATAACCTAATTTATAAAACATGACTAAAACGAACAAGGATTTTTCTACGATTCTAAATCTCTGGGAAAATAATAAGCCCAAATATTTACGCTAAAATGATTGTTACTTTACGCCAACTAACTCGGGAGTAAGAAATCCATTTAAAGGTAGATTAGTTGCAATTTAGTTGTCAATTGTGAATGTTCTTAGCATACAACGCAGTCTTGTTCCGTAATGCATCGTTTCGATTACTATTAATTGGGCTCTCCTCTGTAACCAACAATTACGAATAAATAACTACATGATTACAAGCATAATAACCCTTTTTTTTGCATTGTACAAATAATTCTCGAACATTCTGCATACATAATAATAAGTTCATAAATTGTAATAAACATAATCTTCCCATTCGACCATCTCCTCTCCTATCGCACTTGCGGCACTTTGACGCTCGTAACTAAATATATATTTATAGTTAATTTTCTCGACGATAATTATTATATATCATCTAGAAAGTAAAATGTACTTGCTACTATAATTGTGTGTCAGAAGTAGTAGTATAATGTGTATGTCGAACGGAGAACTGTAAAGTACCGCATACATAGCCGTTGTTTGGCAAATATTTCAAAGGAGAGGGATTATATCGGCATGTACTGAATGACATTATCCCTAATACTTACGCATAACACGGGTTTCCGACATGTCTGTTAACATCGTAGTTTGACAATCACAATTAGATCGGGTCTTTTAAGATTTAAACTCCCATCCTATTGTTACTAATAGAATTAAAACAAGGTCTAATTCAAGCATCATCGAATACTTTCACATTTCAATAAACTTTTCTCTGGTAGCGATACTTGTACGCTGGGCAAACAATATTCACTGACTGCAATTTGATGGAAAAGATAAACTAAGGCTCGCATTTCTTAAGGTCCCGGTTCTAGAGTTGACATTACAAACATTTAAAACCCAAAGTTTGCTCAAATTTAACATAATCACAAATTTTATTAAAAATATTTATTAAATTAAATAATGAAATAAGAAAATATTAGTGAGAAGGTAAGCCCTACTATGAAACCATTACTCTTAAGACCCTGATAGACTTTCGGTGACGCCGCAGAAGCAAACTTCTGTATGTAGAGGAAAATATAACTAAAGAACATGATCAGGCTATCGATAATTGATGTGGATGATGTAGTTAATGTAGTAGGTTCAGATTCGGGTATGGTTTCCTCGACGGAAACTTTATTCAGCAGGGGAGTCTTTTTACTAGTACTAAAAGTTACTCCTTTGGCATATTGTTCGAGAGCAAAATTATTATTGCTTGGTCCAGGTTTCGAAAATTTCTCCAACTCTTTACCTTTGTCTGTAGCTTCAATCTGGCCTTTTATGCCTTCAAAGTTTTTCTGAGGAATTAACAAGAATGCACTTTTGCTAATGGGTTCGATTTTAAAAGCAAGAGATTGTTAATTTGGTTTTGATGTAACAATAACAATAAAGATAGCATTATAAAATATAACTTACCGCCTATGATTCAAGGCACTTTGTGACGATGCGTCAATCAACACCCAATCTTGACCATACATTGACATTTGTTGAACAACTTGGAATTGGGGATTAGCGGTAAATCCTTTCCACGATTGACGAACAAATGACCCTGATGATCCTGATAAACGCACGGGTTTGCCAGGTGGTGGATTTACTTCAATATAATGTTCCCTTGCAAAATTAACAAAAGCTAGCACATCATCAATCGTTGTCATTGCTCCAAGAGAGATGCGGATTGATCCAGTAGGTTTCCTGTTGATAATATCTCGATCATCTCCACACACTTTCCCTGACTAGGAATAAAAGTCATTTAAATTAATCGAAATTGAATTGAATATCGTCTTCCCCTACCCTCATAGAAATAGTGTTTCATCAGAGAACGAGATTGTACCTGGAAAGCCATCATCATCTCGTCCTGAGTAATATTAAACCACTTGGTGACGCTACCGGGATTGCAAAAACCTCCCACTCTCAAATGTATATTGTTAACGCTTGCCAACTTTTCTACTTCTACATATCCTACCCATGACCCATCAGGCTTCTTAAAATTAAAGTTCAAGATTGGTCCTTGCGTTTTCGGATCGTAAAAATTTCTAGAACTAAATATTTCGCAAACAGGCGCTCCGTTATAATGCTTCATTACGGATAATTGCGAATAAAGATAGGATATAAGCGTGGACGTGTGCATGTTGACGTAATTGATCGAATTGTAAAGTCTGTGAAATGCATCAAATGCATGAGAAAGTGCAATAATATTTAAAAAGTTTATGGTTCCATCTTCATAGGTTTCTGAAAGAGATGGCCAAAATTGAGCATAATCTGCGTCATAAAGAAGTCCCGAAACTATACAATGAAATAACATTAGTTTATCCGAACGCGTATGGAGCGTGCATTATGAAAATTCCTACTTAAACAAATTGTTTATATACTTACTTGTCCCCCCTCCGAAATACCGCTTTTTCAAAATTGGCGTAAGTTCAGTCTTCACCAGTAAAGCACCAAGTCCAGTTGGATATCCAAACAATTTGTAAAAGCTTAAATTTACAAAGTCAGGTGACGATTTTGTATCTCTTAAAGACAGCTGTGTTGAAGTGATATATGATGCCGCGTCTAACAAAACCAATGCTTTTGATTTTGCTGTAGTATGACTTTCTTTGATACGTCGTGACCAGTCTATCGGGAACTTCATTCCTGAAAAGTTACATTGACCAGGATACGCAAAAAGATTATAGATAATTTCATCATCATTATCTTGCACTTCAGACCCACGCTTATTGCCAGTCTCAATAAAGGTCTCGACTTCTGCTTCGGTAAGCACGCTGATGTCAGCTCCACTTTCCTTAGCAAGTGCTCTCAAACCAATAATGCTTGTATGATTTTCTCTCAGATATCTAAACCAGCTTTTTCCGCTCTGCCATGGAAAGATTTCTCCTACCAATTTTATAGCAGCGGTCGCATTTTGAGTGAACACTACTTGATAGTCCCCAGGAGTAGCATCAAAATAGTCGAGAATTTGATTGCGAACAGCCTCGACCTTTTTTGTTGCTAACATGGAACTTGGTGATTTGCTGTGTGGGTTGCCATAAAGATTTTCGGTAAGATCAGTTTTAAAGTTTTTGAGAGTGCTTTGAGGGTATGTTGTTGTTCCCGCATGGTCAAGGTAGAAACCATCTTTTTTTTACAGTGAGAGAGGACAGAGAATATAATATAAACATTTAGATGTCGCTTGTCGAGGGTTAACGTATTACAAATAAATCTATAAAAATTAAACATCATACTTTTCAATTGCGGGTACTCCTCTTCCCTAATCTGGTCAATCCTTCCATTGTAACCATATCTATCGCCATATTCCTTTAAAAATTTTTCTTTTTCTGATTGGACTTTGGATGGAGGCATTTTTCCCGTCCGGTAGTTTATTTAAGTGATGGGTATTAAATATTGGAATGAAGCACCAAAATAATTGGATAGTATATGTTAACGTTTGTCTAGGGTTTATTTACGTCAGCAACGAGAATGGATTTCAAAGAGAGGGCAATTTGTCGTTTAGACTCAACAGACTAGTTCCAGACCAGTATGTGAGAAGAGATACTAGGATAGTTCGGCGGACGTAGCATAATCTCGCCATAGGGAGGGGGAGATTAAATAGCAAGTTGGTGAGGTCGGACTTGCGCCAATAAGAAAAATAACTTTGGAGGCGGGAAGGAAATGGACGTATTAGTTTGTCTTGGATGTTATTCACATGAAACGTAATCAGATCACCATATAGGATAACCGCTCCGCCCATTCCGAAAAGTCTCGGCATATGAATATACGGACTACGAGCGTTGGGCTCGACAAACTTGGCAAAAAGATTCTTTGCCTTACGCCCTTTTCTTTTTTTTACTTTTTACGATAACAAATTATTTGCGGCAAAGATTGACTCGGAAGAATAAATCGGATTGTTATAATGATCAATCTGAACACGTGTTTCTAGCATATTCCTGATGAATAAACATTTGGTATTTTGCCCCAGGCCAACAGAAAATACAACTGAAAAAAAAAAAAGAAAAAAGAACGGGCTTTGTGTCAATCAATAAAAATTCTCGACAAAACAGCCGACAATGAATAGTGTAGTATTGTAAGAAATGGGAACATTCCTTACCTCATGTATTCCTGCATTTATCAAAAGTGGCAATGTGTCACACCACATGATGCAAATAGGAACGTCAGCTTACGTATTCACGTGCGATCAGCAGCGCTTGTAATCTTATCAGATTCTAATCCCAGACTTGAGAGAGAGTTACACGATTGATATTAATATCCTGATCAACGTCCCGAAAGTTATTGCTTTAACTAAAAATACTATAATTGATTTTCTCGTGATTAAAAATCGACAACATTCACATGAAAGTGCTTACTAACATTGATTAGGAGATAAGCTCAGCTGTATCGCGGTTCACAAAATACTAGAACTATACGGCAGTGTCATTCATTCAATGCCTCCTCCGCAAATTACTAATAGAAAATCTTTGGGTGTACCAATGCAGATAATTTAGATGGATAAGAAAGGATGAATGGTTTAATAAATCATAAAAAAAATAAGGATAATGGTTTCCGATTCTTTTGCACATATAATATCAGATAATTAATGGTTGACACGAACTTACAGCCGTGTGAATGTTTAATTCTGGATGCGATGCGTGAGCGAGAAACATAACCGTTTTAGTAATTGATATATGTATCCGAAAAACATAATACTTGGGCATGCCGCAACGGATAATCGCACTTTTTCAAATATTATAAATGTAGTTGTTATTATAAGCTGTGGATATAAATAGGATTACATTGTAAACTAATTATATATTAAATGTTCTAATCAATCCCAATATGTGATTAAACTATATATGCTATTCGTTTATTGAAAATTAATTATACACAATTGTATTTTACGATTTTTCTCAGAAACCACAGGTTACATGTTTATCTTACAAGAACTATTAACTTTATTCTAGAATTCTTATCGTGACATTTAAATTTTTAATTTTATTTAAACACATTGAAATGCTTAATTTAATCTGCTCTAATTTAAACCGGATAGTAATAGAGTTTTTAAAATAAGCATTGTAATTAAGTGTGGAAATTTTGAATTGCTAACGTTAACATATTTGACTCGGATTAATTGAAAAAACACGTTATAATAAGTTCTACCGTTATCTTTTGTGTATTAATCATAATGTCATTGATTCATATTGTTAATGGTTTGTTTAAAATACTCTTAAGGCTGTCATATTACCTTTACTTTTAGTTGCAATAAAAATTAGCTAACCAGCTAACACTATAACACACATTATACCACACATTATACCACACATTATACCATAAATTAATACTGTAGATATATTCAATAAGTCGACCGGCTTATTTAATTGGCATTTTCTACAGCTTAAACTGAGCTTTAACGAGTACTTCGTCGTGAATAAAAGGCCCCTCCTCCGCTACATTCATCTTCATACTAAAGAGAGATTGTTCTTTCTATTCTTATGTGTCATTTTTTAAAGCCATTATTTGATCAAGCTATTTACTTATTACTCGAGTTCTTTGTCGGTGGTTTATCTAGACACATGATATGATAATACTCTGTAGATAAAGTACTGGTAAATAGAACATACGGTTATCTCAGAGCAGTTGGCCTTCAACTCGTAAACATTTAGCTGCTTTCGATATAGAACAATGACGTTTCTATGACTTGATCGGATGACCGGCATTAATTTATTGATCACCAGTATAATACAAATAAGCTGATTGTCGTAAAGAGATATCTATCCGTGTATATACTAAGTAAGTCTATTAGGATTAAACTTCATAATACAATAAATTCATATGAACGACAAAAATACTCCAACTACTGTAACCATCGCCATCAACGGAATGGATATGGTATGAGAGCTAGTTTCGTTGCTAGTGTTATTTGCCAAAGTTGGTTGAGGCGTCGCATTAGATGTTACGGCAGTGCTACTCGTAGGCACTGGAGAAGTATCCGCAGGTGAAGTTGAGATAATGTCTGAAGACGAACCGGTTGATTCGGGAGACGGTATGTCTGTTGGTGTCTCTCCTGGCTTATACACTTCGATTTCTAAACGTGAATCAGGCCCTTGATCGCATCCTTGTGCGCCTTGAGCTGTAAGATAGAAATCGTACTAAACAATAATAGACAAGTTAACAAAGTCAGTTATAACGAGACCATATCGGTCTACAGATTAAGATGGGCCGACGGATCTTAAAAACCGATACGTACTATTATTGGAGGTGACGGATACTCTGTAAGTCGAATTGGTTCGGGGTCGGTGGTATATTTATATGTATTCGGATATGTATGAAAATTGCTATCGACTGTTGAAAAAACTTATTGTTAGTATCAGTATCAGGCGAGACGATCATCTAACCACTATTACCACTATTACCACTATTACCACTATTACCACTATTATTAGCAATCCCACACCACAGCATACCGCATCGCATCACAACAACTTTTAGCTATTCAGGTAAAATAAATCATCAACTCTCTGTAGATATTTTGTGCATACTCACTTCCTTTAGACATTACCGCGCAAGACTGGTTATCATAAACTTCATACACTCTTACAGGAGCTTTTACATTAGAACTCCATACGAAGCTAAATACATCCCCATCCACAGCAAAATCAAAGTCTGTTTGTAAAGAGTCCGGACCGACTGTGATAGTGCGCACTATAGCGTCAGTGCCAACGATAACAACTAGTAAAAATGGAAGAAACCAACATATAGAATTCAGCATGCTGAAACTATATGCCTAAACGGAAATAAACGAACAGTGGATTTAGTTAAAAGGGTGTATTTTGAACGAGTGTAGTTATTGTAAATAGTATTTGTCTATATACTATTTACAGTGTCCGGAACAAGAATGAGAACGAAAAAAAGTACAAATGTGGTGTTCAAATAAGATAGGTAGTGAATTAGAATGCCTTCATCATCAAACATTGTTGTTATTATTGGCTGAGCAAAGGTACTACATTACGATAACCAAATTAATCCAGTACCCGATTGCACGCATAACTATAAATCGTATGACTCTCGCATGCAGTTAGTCTTGTAATGTCGAACCAACGATTTGTGTATTCAAACATTAATTCACAGTTTTAGATGACCAAGTGTAACACCAGATGTGCCGAGTATGGATTTTGTGCATATTAATTTCAGCTGCGTATTCTAAATAAGATATCTCTGTGGCTAATTTGTTCAATTTATTAAGCTGCTGCCTTGTCTTCTAGGCGAGGTGATACATAAGAGTGATCGTTAATTATGCCAAGTAGTGAAAGTCATTGTCTTCTCATCCGATGAAAACTGTTATTGCTATTAGACATGATAATAAATTGTCGTTATATAATTACACATACAAATGCAGGGCACATAAGTGGTTGTCCATTAAAATGTCTCGGACAAACAACTAGCCGACGTTCTGTATGTTTCAATGATATCTCTTCATTATTAATTACAGTCCCCACATCCCAAATAAATATGATAAATCATTGTTTAGTATGATGCCTTGTTAACGGGACCAGTAAATGTACTTGATAATAATAACCAAGTTATATACTTCATGTCTTTGTTACATCGAATGAAATGGTCTCATTATTAACCTGCCAGATATATAAGTACTGTGTTGCATGATCTCATAACTTTTGAAATACGTCTGATGGAATTCCAGAATTGCATAAGCCATGTCATGCTAACATATTATTAATATATAAATTAAAGCACACCATAATCATTATCTACACTATAAACTGCTGGCTTCAGAGATTTGCTCATAGTTCCAACAAATGGACAATTAATTGTACTTTAGGCAATACATTCGATTTGTGTTTACCCTTGTAATTTAAACTCACGTAATCGTGGCTTACCGGGCGGTTTTTTAATTAAGCACGAGAGATGTGTAATGCAGTGTATGCAAAAAAAATGTTTGACACGTTTCCTTATTTGTAGTTCGGACCAACTTCCCGATGAACGGCAATGTCTTACAAATCTTGATTACCAAAGTTAGCGTTGATCCTAGTAACATTCGTTAAATTGCGTTGTGCCAAAAGAAATTACCATTATAATAACGGTCGTGGCTGATGCTGAAACCATGACTTTTCATTGATTGATCAAATTTTATTCTTAATCCCCATTGATTAGTTTCAGCTTCAGCCGGATTTCAGCATCCGCTCCCACTACCATAATAACTATCATAGCATAAATCATAACGGAATCTACGTATATTGAATCTTATATTGTATAAAAACAAGGACGCATAATTATGGTCGGGTTATCACTATGAAACTAAGGCTGAACAAGGACATGCAAATGCATAGTTTAAGGTCGCGTGTTATATAATAAAACTAAACAGAAGCAGTTGAACTACTGCTCAACAAGACGACATTAACCCAAGTTTGATTTTACGCATTATGAAATAGCAAGTAGGAGGAAGATAAACCAAAGCATTAAACAGCATTGCACTAACTGCGAGTATTGTTACATTGTGGGTCGAATTGGTGTAATATTTGCAATATCCGAACTGTGCTCAAATTTTATGAGGCAATACAATAGTGAACAAAGTAATGCTTATCTATGCACCAACCATCTTTAATCTTTAGGTTCGGATTGTAAATGAAATAGACATGAAGTAAACATTAGAATTGTCATTAAACTATGCAAAAAAGATTAGCTAAACAAAGCGTATACTTTTATAAAACAAAAACTCTAAGGAAAATTTTTTGTTTACGAATGCGAAGGGTTGGTATTAGGCCAGATAAGATTAGCCTATTACATATTTAACAGAAGTAATAATAGTTGAGAATTAGATTACAACGAGTATTTCACAAAATAGAAACTAACTAATAATATTGTGCTTTAGATAATTAACGTTTGTATCATGTTTACAGCTTATGATCAAAAATTTTATTGATAAAAAGTTTGAAGGAACATTTTTCAAGGTATACTGTACTTGTAATTATCTAGTAACTTATTTTATTAATTTTACTAACTAATTAGTATTAGCATTAGTTATAAACAAATTTCAAGGGGTTACACTTTTCTACTTATAATTTAGTTAATGTATAAAATTGTTGATAAAACTGTGTTTATGTATTCAACTTTGATTAGAAATTTTGTGTATTGTTTACTCAAAAAAATAAATGCAAACAAATATGCTTCGAAATGTTTTTGTAGCATCTGTAAATTAAGAAAAGAGTAAATTGGTTTATGAGCAGACCAATAAAAGAGGGGGCAATAAACATTTATTATGCTATATTCTTCCTTTCAGCTTTTAAACAATGGGCCAACTATGCAGTGAATAAAAAGAGCTCAAAAAAGGTAACAAAAACCTAAGAATGGTGATAATAATAGGCAAATTGTGGTCTCAATTAATAAGAGCAAATTAGGGCAAGCAAAATCAGACGTGGGAAAATGGTATCATAAATTCGCGAATACAGTCAGGACTCGATATAGTAATAGTAAAGTCTCGATATAGTAAATTCCGTATTATAGTCAAGAATTCCTCTGAACAAAAAACCGAATTATTAAATTTTTCCCTCGATAAAATGAAGTTTTATAGTAAAGTCCCGATAATAGTAAATTCGCGTTATAGTAAAGTTTCCTCTCGAACCATATTAGTAAATTGTCTCTCGATATAGTGAAGATTGTTCCACTTGATGGTTTTTGACCAATTATAATACAAACACGTGGTAAATAAAAGTGAGAGAATTTTAACAGCATGAGACCCTACAGAGAGAAAAAAGAAAAAGGCAGTTCAGGGAGAAGAGGTTTATCTGGTGCCCAGAAAACTGAAATATGTCGTTTAAAAGGACGAGGTGTTAGCCAAGTTACACTAGCGAAGCAATTTGATATTTCCGAGGCAACCGTTTCAAATATTGTGCGTGATAAGGTAAGATGGTTATCACTTGATCCAAATACTAACTGTTTTCAAAGAATTGCTTCGAGAAAACAAAGCGTGTTGGATATGTTTGTTCATAAACACTAAGTATCGCGCAATAATAGGTGCTATAGTCAATTTTACGGTTTTTTTCCTCGTTTTTTGAAATGGCTTTAATATTAATAAATTACCAAATCAAGAAGTTACTACATAATTGAACGGTATGACATTGCTCCGTTAATCGTTCAGCACTATTGAATCTTCAGTCGAAATAACGTTTGAGTCATTTATTATTATACTACCACAAGACTGGCCAGTCGCGATATAGTAAAGATTTATGCCACGTATATATAAACTTTACTAAAACGAGAATATTCGATATAGTGAAGAAAAACCTCCGTCCCATTGACTTTACTATATCGAGTCCTGACTGTAATTGTTCTTTGACAGGTGATGGTCGACAATATTAATTGTTATCTCCATTTGATGAGATTATGCGCTCATGAATACAGCAACGGGACGAATTATTTGCCAAGAAATATGAGTGAACTAAATCGAAAAGGGCGGTAGAAGTATACCCACGTTCCGCAAATATTTAATATTTGAACCGTTATTCTGGAAAAACGGGGAAAAGATGCTACATGAAAATATATTGAGCTAGGCTGCAAATTTAAGTCCATAAATATACATAACCTGCGAGGAATCTTACCTATAGTAAGCGCGACTAACAGTAATAACGATTAGCAACTACAACTCGTCAGACTTCGGTATCGAATTTAAAATATTTTGCAGATAAAATGTAAACTCTTTGTTCTGAAACGTGCAAGACATAAATCCGACCTCTGTTCTCTCGCTAAAGGTTCTCATTTGAGTAAAAAGATATAACAAATGCTCTATTTCGTAACAGTTGAAGAAGGTCAACTTTTTCAAATGTTCGAATTTTTTCAAAGACGCAATAAGGTGCTCAATGATACGCTTGCTGAAATGCATGTTATGAATTTGCAAGATTTCCAGCCTCGGCACGTGTTCTTCCAAAGTCTTGAGCACAGGTATGATAAAATGCGGAATTTCCGTTTCAGCATAATACGCAAACTTTTTCAAATTACTTTGAGAGCGGATAAACCCGCTGATTTCAGAAGAATCATCGGATATATCACTCGCGCTAACGCCATAGCTCAGAAATTCTTCTCCTACACTCAATGTTTCCTTAAAAAAATGTTTCGCATTAGACCGTGAATGTTAATAAATATGCAAGACTTTACTTACTATATTTTTGCAATGCTCCCCCAACGATCGGTAAACGTGAGAGATTAACCCGGCTTCGATGAGTCCTCCGCAATGCAACAGGGTAATTTTCGAAAACAGAGTCTTGCTATATCTGAGAATTTCATCAATCATTTTCGGGCTTATTAAAACATGGCTAATTCTCTCATCTTCATAGATGGCCAAGTCCCGTACTTGAGCATCGTACTGAACGTAAAGTTCGAAAAACGGTGACAATAGATTCTCTTTATTGATTTCAACCGAGTATTCTTTGTCCAGTTCTTCAATGAAATACGGCAGCATGTTGGCGAAATAAGCGAGATTAAACATTTTCACAAAAGCTGGGTATTGGTAATAGACTGTGGTCTCAATTAATAAGAGCAAATTAGGGCAAGCAAAATCAGACGTGGGAAAATGGTATCATAAATTCGCGAATACAGTCAGGACTCGATATAGTAATAGTAAAGTCTCGATATAGTAAATTCCGTATTATAGTCAAGAATTCCTCTGAACAAAAAACCGAATTATTAAATTTTTCCCTCGATAAAATGAAGTTTTATAGTAAAGTCCCGATAATAGTAAATTCGCGTTATAGTAAAGTTTCCTCTCGAACCATATTAGTAAATTGTCTCTCGATATAGTGAAGATTGTTCCACTTGATGGTTTTTGACCAATTATAATACAAACACGTGGTAAATAAAAGTGAGAGAATTTTAACAGCATGAGACCCTACAGAGAGAAAAAAGAAAAAGGCAGTTCAGGGAGAAGAGGTTTATCTGGTGCCCAGAAAACTGAAATATGTCGTTTAAAAGGACGAGGTGTTAGCCAAGTTACACTAGCGAAGCAATTTGATATTTCCGAGGCAACCGTTTCAAATATTGTGCGTGATAA